CTTGGCGCTCAGCGCGCGCCCCAGAAATGCGCGGAGCGGCCGGGACCCGAGAGGGCTGGTGCAGGAGCTAGGGCCTGTGCCTCCTCCCCGACCCTGAGACTTGCCTTCGAGGCACTTGTCACTTTGCCTTGTAACTTAGTGACCAGTTTGTGATCACTTTAGTGTGAGCCTCCGCCGCTGCTGTTGCTTGGAAGGTTCTTCCCCTGCTCTGTGACAGTGTTGACCTCAGGGTTTAGTTGAGGTATCACCTGCCCAGAGAGGCCTGCTGTGGCCACCCAGCCCACCGTGCACACCTGCTCTCTTGCTGTCCCCGTTCTGTCACTGTTTCGTGGTCAGCACCGCACTTTTCGTACTCAAAATCACTGTTTCAGCACTAGAAAGGAAACTGCATGAGGACAGGCTCTTGTCAGTTCGCTGCTGTGTACCCAGCACACATTAGACGCCTAGTAAATACCTGTTGAACCAACAAATGAACCTCCTCAGGCCTTCTGATGGGATTGGTCCCATTTTCCGTTCACTGCCTCCCTCATGGTGCCTCCTGGATGCAGCTGAGGGAGGCTGCCAAGGTGCTGGGATCCTTTTGCTCCGCAGAGCTGCCTGGAGCAACACCTGCGGTGGTGGGAAACCATGACCCTGGTTTCTCCCAGACACTATTATCTCTGTAATTTGTGCCTTTATGTTTTCTATGTTGTTCTTTTTTTTTTTTTTCCTACCTTCACCAGGGCCACGAGGTAAAAGGTCTGACATGCTCATTCCTTCTTTTTGCTTGTATCCAGTGATGTGGAAGGCACTAGGGACGTGATGGATGAACAAGACAGACAAGGCCTCTGCTCTCAAAGAGCTTAGCTTCCGACGAGGACAGACAAACCAGCACACAACATCGTTACAGATATGTGGAAGGCACTGGGGAGGTGATGGATGAACAAGACAGACAAGGCCTCTGTTCTCATAGAGCTTACCTTCCGATGAGGACAGACAAACCAGCACACGTGATCTTTGCAGATAGTGCTAAGTGCTGTGTAGGAAATGAAACAGTTTGACTCCATGGAAGTGTACTGTAGATTGGAAGGTCAGATCTCCACTATATCACTAGCACCAGGCTCACAGTAGATGTTCAGCTGGTATTAATGAATGGCCAGAGGCTCTCCAGTTTATATGTCCTATTGGGAAGTAGTGAAGGGTAACTTACGCAAAGTTACCCAGTTGGCAAGTGGTACATTTGAACCCAGACTTCAGAGTTCACGCTGTTAACCGTTATGCTGTCTGATCGCTGGGAAATACTCCAGAACGGTGGCTGTCACTTTGCCTTCCAAGTTAACAATGTGAAATAACTCTGAATTTACAGAGAACCAAAGGCTTTCCAATTAAAATGAAAAAACCAAAAAAACCCCACCAAACCTACCGGGGATCGAAATTCCAGGATAGTATTTGAGGTTTCATGATGCTCTCATGGCTTTCTGGGAACGCCAGATTGGAAAAGGAGGCCAGGTGGCTAAAGTGGTGAGCCATGGTTTCCACTTGAGTTGTCTGAAGTTCTTTTTCTGTCTGGGAGGCCTGGCTTGGCTTCTCCTGAGAATTGGTGGGTTCATTCGGTTAGTTCACAAACATTTACTGAGTACCTGATCTGTGTGTCAGATACCCGGAGAAGCCAAGTCATATCAGCTGTACTCTCCCATTTTCCCTCAACCTCCTCCCAGTACTTTAGGGAAGGGGGCAGATGAGAATAACAGCCAGGACAGGACAATGATGTAGGGTAGTTCAGAGTGCTCCAGGAGCATTGAGGAGGTCAACTTCTGAAGGAGGTGTCATTTGAGCTCAGTTACAAAAGGTTGAGTAGAAGAAGGCTCAAAGAAGGAAAGGGTGAGAACATTTCAGACAGAGGAAATTGCTGCACAGAGGCACAAACACTGAGATGACTGGGCTCCTTTGGGATGCCCAGTAGTTCTTTTTTTTCTTTTTTTTTTTTTTTTTTTGAGATGCAGGTCTTACTCTGTCACCCAGGCTAGAGTGCAGAGACGCGCTGTCTCACTGCAACCCCCGCCGCCCAAGTTCAAGCGATTCTCCTGCCTCAGCCTCTTGAGTAGCTG